AGAAATGAGTCTTTGGGACCCTGCAAGGCCTCCTGCTCCAAGGGGCTCATTTCTGGTGGAGTTTGGGGGAGAGAAAGAAAGACTTCTGCGGCTTCTGCTGCTTTCCTTGCATGAAGCCAAAAGTCTCTCTCTCTCTCTCTTTCTCCCCCTGAGAATGCAGCTGGAGACGGTATCCTGCGATCCCAAATAAAGAACGATCGATCAGCAGGAAAACGGGGTGGGGAATTTTCCTGCAGACTTTTGGGGGGATTTTCCCAGGGTCTCTGATCCGCGGGATTTAAAATGATGAGTTTGGGGGTCCCTGAGGTCCAAAAGGTTGGCGACCCCTGCTCTGGAGGCTGTTTCCAGCCTTCTGGAAATTCCAGGAGGCCCATTTTTCGCCCTCCACAAGCCTCCACATGGCCCTGCACTTACCTGCGATCCAAAACGTGCTGTGTGGGGACTCCTGGGAGGAATGGGTGGGGCCAGCCGAGGGTGGGATTTGCCGGTTCACCGAACTGGCCATAAGATTAACAAACCAGTTCACCTGAAGCGCTGCGAACCGGTAGCAGCCCACCCCTAATTTTGACCCTTATTTTGTCCTAGTGGGGTCCTTCCATCCGCCTGAAGACAGCTGGGCTGCCCAATCATCGCACCATGAACCCGTGCCCGGTTTACGACAAGAAGAATGACGTCATCTTCCTCTTCTTCATCTGCGTCAGGGACGGCATTTCGGAACAGCATCAGATTAGGACGAGGAGAAATGCTGTCCGACTGGGCTACGTCTCCAGCGAAGACGGCAGCCGCCACTGGAGCTCGATGACCGACCTGACCGAACAGGTGATGGGCGACGATGAGGCGCAGAAATGGGCGACCTTTGCCGTGGGACCAGGCCACGGAGTGCAGCTGAGTTCGGGGCGCCTGGTGATCCCAGCTTATGCCTACTACGTCCACAAGTCATGGTTGGGGTACTCCTTCCCGTGGTGGATCAAACCCCATTGCTTCAGCTTCTACAGCGACGACGGCGGGCGAACCTGGGCCCGGAGTGAGCCCCTCAAAGCCCTGAAGACCACCGAGTGCCAGATGGCCGAAGTGACCGGCGAGGACGACAGGCAGGTGTTATATTGTAACGCCCGAAGTTTGCACCAATTCCGAGCCGAGGCCTACAGTGCGGACAACGGATGCCGTTTTCCAGACCACGCCGTTTGCAAACAGTTGTGTGAACTGCCTTCGGGGTGTCAAGGAAGCGTTGTGAGTTTCTTCCCCTCGGATCCGGGCCCAAAGAAGGACCCCGACGCGTCAACCGCTGAGACGGAGGCGTCTCCATCGTCTGCTTCGCCCAGCTGTCCCAAGTCATGGCTGATGTTCTCCCATCCCACCAGCAAGAAGAAGCGGATGGATCTGGGGATCTACCTGAACCCTTCCCCGACGGAGCGGAGCAGGTGGACGTCCCCTTGGATCCTAAATAAAGGACCCAGCGGGTACTCGGATTTGGCTGTTTGTGAAGACGGGGAACCACTTGCCTTCGGTTGTTTGTTTGAGTGCGGAGAGCACAAGGCATACGAGGACGTCGCATTTTGCCTCTTCACCCACGATGAGCTCCTGAGAAACGTGAAAATGTGAGGGACGGTCCGTCCGACGGCACATCCGCCTCAACGAAGGAGCTCTGTAAAGGGTGGTTCTGTGCTTGGCAACCGACTGGGAAGGTCCTACAGGCTCTTCCTCGTGTCACATCTTGTGTGTTAAGATGCTGGCTTTTAATGATAACAGAATCACAGAGCTGGAAAGGCCCTCAGAGGTCTTCTAGTCCAGCCCCCTGCTCATGCAGGAGATCCTATATCATTTCAGACGAATGGTTGTCCAATCTCTTCTTGAACACCTCCAGTGTTGGAGCATTCACAACTTCTGGTGGCAAGCAGTTCCACTGATTAATTCTTCTCTCACGGTCAGGAAATGACCTCCTGAGTTCCAGGTTGCTTCTCTCCTTGATCGTCATAAAGAGATGCTAAAGGAACAGGTAATAGGAAAGATGAGAAGGCTAACAGTAATAAAGCTCTTACTATATGGTTTGATATCCTAGGGCCATGGCCCACTACCGGACTGTGGGCTGTTTGGAACTAGGGTGTGCAAGCAGCAGGCAAGCACGTGTGTGCGCGAAGCTCCACTCGGTGGTGCGCGAAGCTTTACTCTCATGAGAAGTTCTATTCGCGTGAGCAGAGGGTGTTTGCGCTCACACAGAACTCTGCATGCTTGCACCCGCATCTGCCACTCACACAACGCCATCCCCTCTCTCCCTCCCCTCCCCACGCCAAGCCAAAAACGTTGGGGACCATCGTCCCAGTGCATAAGACAGTGCTGTGGGAATGAAGTGCTCCGCAGAGTGACGGTGCTAGAGGAAAAAGCTGTCTTCGTGCCTAGCTGTTTTGGTGTGCAATGCCCTATAGAAATTAAAAATTAAAACAGTTGATGTCCAGGATGTGAGGGGTCTGCAGATAATTCCTCAGCCCCCCTTTTGGCTCCTGCAGGAGACAGGTCCTCAACGGAAGGCAGGCTGGTTGCAATTGGTTTACCTTGGTGACTTTATTTTTAGTCTGATTCCCCTTATCTTAATGTCTCTACTTAAGTGTTTCTGTGGTCAGCTTTGTTACTTTTGTAACAGCAGGCTGCTCTGAGTTTTCCTTTCAGCTGGTGCTTCTTGGTTTTCTTAAAGGGCCGGCTTAAGTCTTTGGGCACTGCTTTAGTGGTTCCTGGCACTGTCCTTTGGTGTGCCCTCCCCACAATACATTGTAACAGCAGTTTTGCAGTCCTAACTATCCGTTGAAGTTTGTGCCCGCCCTGTTTGATTGTTGGGCCAAACATAATTTAAAAGCATAATTAATAAAAGTACCAATTGTTAATTTTATAAATATTCCAGACCACCAACCCAGAAAGATTGGCGAACTCTGATCTAAGCATACCCAAGGCTTAATTTTGCTATGGGGCAAGTTTGCTATTCTCTTATTTCACATAAAATAGTAAGCCACCCAGCGTTACCCTGTGGTAAGTGTCTCACTGAGCAGCAGAAATGTCGGGCTCAATTGTGGTCATAAGTCAAGGACTACCTGTATTTAAATTCTTCAGTAGATTCCTAAATATGCTTTATCTTTTAGCCTGATTCCCCTTATCTTAATGGCTCTACTTAAGTGTTTCTGTGGTCAGCTTTGTTACTTTTGTAACAGCAGGCTGCTCTGAGTTTTCCTTTCAGCTGGTGCTTGTTGGTTTTCTTAAAGGGCCAGCTTAAGTCTTTTGGCACTACTTTAGTGGTTCCTGGCACTGTCCTTTGGGATGCACTCCCCACGGGGTGTATGGGACCCACCCTTTGACTATAAAGAATTGCTGTAAGGTTGTAATCGGGGCCTTGGCAGCTTTCAAAGCCAGGGTCTTTATATCTTGATACCAAAATAAAAGTATGTTCTTGTACCACACCTTGTGTGTTTGGTGACTCATCGGCTTCGACACCAAGCTAAGGCCCAGTTTTGGGGACAACATTTAAGCCAGACATTTATCTCTCTGAATTGGAATTCTTTATTGGCCAAGCGTGAAGTTTTCTCTTAATAAAAGAAGACACGTGTGTTGCATTGTGAAAGGTTATGGTCATGTCATCAACAAATACATTTAGTTAATAATTGTCACCCTCTGTTTCCAGATATGGTCATCTAAGTCAGCAGTCTGCAAAAGAGCCATTTGGGTTTTTCTCTCCTCTCTCTCTCTCTCTTTTTCTTTCTCTCTCTCTCCCCCTTCTCTCTCTCATTTGTTTCCCTCTCTTCCCCTTCTCTCATTTCTCTTTCATTTGTTTCTCTTTCCTCTCTCATTCTCTCCCTCCATCATTTTCCCATTTCTCTCTTTTTCTCCCCTTTTCTCTCACCTAAAGAATATTCCAGTCAAAAGGAAGATATAGTTAATAAAGTTCCAAGTTTTGTTCGTTCAGGTTCAAAATTGCATCAGTATTAAAAGTAGTGACTTACGACCGGTCCTCGCGCTTACGACCATTGCGGCACCATCCCCATGGTCACATGATCAGAATTCAAGCTCTTGGCAACTGGTATCCACAGGAGGTCCTCAACCTACAACATTTAGTGACCCAAGTTACAACAGCGGTGAAAAAGTATCTCATGACCGCTTTTCACACTTATGACCAATGCAGCATCCCCGTGGTCATGTAATCAAAATTTGGATGCTTGGCAACTGACTCGTATTTATGACGGTTGCCCTGTCCCTGGGGTCACCTGATCCCCTTTTGCGACCGTCTGATGAGCAAAGTCAACAGGGAAGCAAGATTCACTTAATGACCGTGTTACTAACTTAATCACTGCACTGATTCACTTAACAAGAAAGGTTGTAAGAATGGGGCAAAGCTCACTTTACAAACGTCTCACTTAATGACAGAAACATTTGGGTTCAGTTGGGGTCGTAAGTAAAGGACTGCTCATATCAGGCTCAGTACTGCAGCACCTCGAGTGACCACTAGGGGGCCGCAGGCAAGCTCTCTCTCTCTTAGGACCACATTGTGTGAAAGGCATCAACTTTCGCCAACAGGGGTGCCCTTCCGATGCACCCATGTGTCTATGCGTCGATCTGGCACATGTGTGTATGATGCAACCTGTGCACTTGTGCAGAATGTACTTCTCACGAAGCGCATCGCGGCTCCCCAGGAAAACCTTTTTGTATTAGAATTATAGGCCTTTATCTATCTATATATATATAAAAGCAAAATACCCCTCACGCATCATCACAAAATCTCCAGAACCGTAAAGCCTACAAAATTGAAATTTGGCCCATAGGTTCCTCTTGGCTTCTAGGTGCTCACTAAGAAAGGATTTTTCCAAATGACCTTCAGAGCATAAGTATTTCCTATGTTGTTGTTATTATTATTCTTATTATTTATTCTTATTATTTATTATTTATTCTTATTTATTCTTATTATTTATTCTTATTATTATTATTATCCTTATTTATTATTATTATTATTATTATTATTATTATTATTATTATTATTATT